TTTGGACGCTATATCTGCATGCCATGTTGGCTTTGATGGTGTGATGCCAGGCACTCACCCTCCTGCTATGCGCTTCCTAAAGGGAGTCCGCAGGCTGAGACCTGTGCTTAAACCCAGTGTTCCCTCATGGGATTTAGTGCTGGCGCTTGAGGCTCTTGGTGGAGCCCCATTTGAGCCTATTGAGTCAGCAGACATGACATTTCTTTCATACAAAACTGCACTGCTACTTGCTTTGGCGTCTTCAAAGTGAGTAGGTGACCTTCATGCTTTGTCTGTGCATCCCTCTTGTACCCAGTTCACTCTGGATGGATCTAAGGTTACATTGTGCCCAAACAGTCCCCCCACAGCCTATAGCTCTATGAGTTTTGAACTACTGAGCTTCTGCCCCCCTCCATTTGCATCTGAGGAGCAGAGGAGGTTGCATTCCTTTTGCCCTGTGTGTGCACTACGCACTTACATAGACCGCACTCAGAGTGTGCGTTTATGTGACCAGTTGTTTGTTTGTTTTGCTAATCCAGCCGAGGGCAAGGCACTGTCTAAACAGCGGCTTTCTGACTGGATTGTGGAGGCTATCTCCTTAGCATACGGCAGCAGGGGTCTTCCGTTGCCCCAAGGTGTGAGGGCACATTTAACCAGGGGAATGGCGGCCTCATGGGCCTTGTTTAAAGGGGTTTCTGTGAGTGATATCTGCACTGCAGCCAGTTGGTCATCACCGCACACTTTTGTTCGGTTTTATCGTTTGGATGTGACAGCCCCTTCATTGGCTCATTCTGTCCTTTCTGCTGGGTCTACAATGCACTAAAGTTTTGGAGGTTTGGAGGTTTGACTCCGGTTTGGTGGCTGCTCTGTGGGGCGTGTATATATGTCCCATACTATATGTGTTGTACCAGGTGAATCGACGGAAAGGTAATGAAATGTTATGAATATGTAACTATAACTTCTGTTCCCTGAAGGAGATGAATGAGGTACAACACTGGGTTGCCCCACTGCACAGTTGGGCTCGGTGAAGAGCGGCTATCGAACTGAAGGATGACTTTGGTGTTACACGTATATATGTGCAGGCGGAGCCTCCCAGACGTCGCCACAGACCATCTGCCATAAAGGCGCGAATAAAGATGTCTTCAGTCAGGCCACGCGGGAGCATAATATCCCATACTATATGTGTTGTACCTCGTTCCTCTCCTTCAGGGAACAGAAGTTATATTCATAAAATTTCAGTTTTAGGATGTGACATTTTGGTCATATTGCACACCTACAGTCACCAGTGTCTGCATGGTAGTCTGTTGGCATCTACAGTTGCACCAGTGCTTTCATGTTGACTGGGCCCCATGTCTAATTATCTTAAGTCTTTATCTTTATTATAACTGAATTTAATTGGAAGCATCATTGTTGTGTAACGGAGGCTTCTGTTGTCTCCGTTACTACTGCAGCGTGTAGCTGAGGGTTGGGGCAGCTAAGCAGTTTTGATATATATATATATTGCAGGTAGACACAACATTTAGGGTTGTTAAATTAAAAGGTACACATTATTAGCAAATGATGAGCCACAGAGGTATTTCAGTTAAAATACTTTTATTCTGATTTGGTTAATGGTGTGTGTATGTGTGTATCTGTATAGGTGTTTTCCGGGGACGTCCAGTAGCTCGTCCGGTAGCCGGGGGTTAATTTAGCCGCACCACCTGTAACACAGTGCATACGATGTGGATGAGGGTTTTAGCAGATTTGTGTGCTTGAGTAAAAGGTGGAAGTAGTGCAGTCTAAAATTAGTTTGACGTGAATATTGTGAACACTTACCTGTGCCTTTCTGTCTCCACTCCCAGGGTGCGTATGTAAAAGAGTCCCCGGGGAAACAAACAGCCTTTTTAGCATTCCGAGAGGGTTCCAACTGGCAGATGGGTATGGGGGGTGAACAGTGCCACGTGTAACATTCAATTGGGAGGATGATCACAGTATGTGATTAATGTACACTCGTAGTTAGGTTCTGTGATTTAGTCTGGATCATAGGTTTGTATATTTTAAGTAGGTCATTTTAAATAGTTATATTAAACTTGTTACAGTTTTTCCACACCCCTACAGGTGGTAGCACCCAATCGGGGAGGGTATATAGGGGAGCGCTTTCCTCTGAGCTAAAAATTCTCTCGTGTGCACAATGGACTGAGCATGGTGTGTTTTATTGGTTTTTGGTCTATATACTGCAAATAAATGCCCACTGTGTGGGTTTAACTCATCTCCTGCCTCTGCCTCCTTATATGGTCACGGCCGCTCTCAGGGTCATTCTTACATGTTGTTTTAAAAAAGCCTGCATAGTAGTGTTGTTGAGTGATGAAGTAGCTTGGAGAGTTAAAATAAATAAGTGCAACAGATATTTGAGACAGAGTAATATCTTCCTACCATACTCTCCTTCTCTTCATTTCAGGTACTGCAAGCTGTATAACAGAAAGTCCAGAGGTCCAGAGCAAGGAGTTTGAACACCATAAAGGTCCTACAAGATGTACATCTGACCAAGAGGACTTATTGTTTGGATATTATTTTTCCAATAAAGTTGTTTTATTTTATCTCATGTGTAATCTTTTAGGCACCATTACTACTGGTGACTCTGTCGTGACAAAAGTTGTTCAAGTCTTTGCTGATGTGATTGGTGATGGTAATGATAATTTACTAATCTTGTAGTAAATTGCTGGGGAGTCCGAACGAGCAGGAGCGTCTGTTTGTGGGCGGGGCCCACTGGAGCAGTGAGTGAGGGAAGAAGAGGAGCTGAGGGGGAAACTGGTGAGGAGGGGTAGTGTTTACATTCAAAAATTCTCCCCAAAACTGGCACTTCCTCAGATCCTGCCTACCCTGGCTTTACATTTGCAGTGTGTAACATTTAAAGTTACAGTTGTAGTATTTAAAGACACAGTGGGTAGAATTTTATGTTGCAGTGTGTAATGTTTTTGTAGCTGCAGTGTGTAGTATTTACAGATACAGTGTGCAGAATTTAAATTAGTATTAGTCATTTTTCAGAGAAGATTTGATTGAAATGATTGAAAAGGATTTTTTTTCCCATATCAATCAGTCTTTATATCTGCAGGAGTGGGTCACCTTCCTCAGATGATTATGCTATTTCACACCACCACATTCCTACACAGAGTGGATGTCTGGATATCTGACAAACATAAAGACAGTCTGCTGTGTTTACCGGTTCTGAAGGTTTCCTTGTGTCTTACAAATGAAACCTCAAAGCATGCTAGGAAATGAAGGCGTGGCTGGTGTACATCAGAGGCCTCTCTGTGTTCTGGCTGTCATCACACCTCACAGTGCGCCCGTTGCTCACTGTCATCGGGGATCTTCATCACTGCGAACGAGTGAACATCCTCTCAGGTGTGAGGGATTTTAAGGACTCCCTCAGGAGGGAGTCACATTCTTCCCTCCTCCTCCCCTCCATGTCTACACCTCTTTTCAATTACCTCCCTCTAACCAGGGAGTGTTTGTCAATATCACGTCTATTGCACCTCTCAGCACGTCCACACCGGAACACAGTCAACGACCAGGTTGAAATGAAGAGAGAGAGAGGTTTTTGATTTTTAAGTTCCTTTATTTTCTGTTTTAAGAATGTGTACATCTTTTTTTAAGTACCTTTGCATTATAAAATAAATAAACAGATCAGACAGATCTGAAGCTCTCCTTCACAAGCTGCTGCTGCTGCTCCACAGAGCACAGCACACCAGCATAAGTCCACATAAGTATTTAAAAGAGTCCATATACTCCATGTTTTTAAAAGACTGGAAATCCACTAGAATCCTTGCTCTGACCATCCTACTGAACACCATCACTAGGTCCACTATCACCTCCTCCTCTACCTTCCTTTTCCTGCTCATTTAGATGAACATTTTGGCCTGTCCCAGCAAGAAGTTCAAAAGCTGACACTTGTTCTGACCACGATGGAAGGGAAAGAATCCTCTGGACGGGGACCTCTCTGCTTTACTCCTCCAACTCCAGCAAGAGGTGCTTATGTCCTACAGACAGCTGCTCCACTGGTTCAGTAACTGGCCAGTGATTTTCTCCAACCTGCCTCCCAGTCTCCCCGCCAAGGAAGCAGTGTCCTCCAGACTAGGTCCAGTTAGCTCCAGCAGATGACCCATATTTGAGACTCCTCCTCTGTTGAAGGCCTCCTGCACCACTGCTCCTGCCCGCCAGGGTGCGTCCGGACTGCTGCCATGTAACAGCTGCTCCTAAAGTTGCCAGTACAGGGAGCTGTGGTAACATAATTAATAATAGACCTGCTGGGCACACAGTAGCTCTGGTCCACATGGATCACCTCTCCCATCACCTCCCTGGGCCTAAGCACCGGAGCTTTGGACATAATTTTACAGTTCCCACAGAGCAGCAACACAGGCCTCCAGTTTTTAAATCTCTTGAGCCCTAAGGTCTTTTTAGCTTTTCTGCTAAAAAATATCATACCTATTATCAAATGATGATAACCATGTAACCACAAAGTCAATTTGAAAAATGTTGGTGTCACAGTAAAGGGAAGATTTGTTAAAAAAAAAAATCTAAATGAATGCCCATTGAAAATTATGCAGATGAAGCTCCACACCTTTATCAGACCATAGTACACCATGTCACGTACCAAAATATGTAAAAAGGGGATGAAAATGGTAACAATAGTTTTAAAAAGGAACCAAGGTAAAGTAACGGCATCCAGGGTAATTGATCATACAGAAAAGTTTATTCTTGAGGTTAACAACCAACTTAAAACAAGCACTAGGCCGAGAAAAACACCAATACAACACAAATGGTAAGCTAAGGTAACAAAAGAAAACTGAATACACTGCAGGCTCCACTGCCACCGGAGGCCGGCTCAGTCCTGCCACACCAAAGTCACACACTCTTTCAACCAGGTCCACACAGGATCACTGACAGGAGGGAATGAGAGAGAGAGAGAGAGACCACAGCCCTGTCTTCCTTTATACAGTCTGCTGCTCATCAGCAGATCAGCCACACCTGCCACACCTCTACTGCAGTGGAGAAAACCTACAGGGAGAAAGAAACAGAGAAAAACAGCACACAAACACAGAAAACAGCACACAAACACCCAAGGCATGTAACACCCCCTACCATAAGAACAAACTAGTATGACACTAGGATCCACTATTATACTTACATTCACAGGATTTCACGTCACTGCATATTGTTTTCTAAGTTGGATCATTTTGCTAGACAGGAATACAACTAATGCACATTTTGATTGGTATCTCACCCACAGGAAAGTGCATCAGCCACCAGGTTGTCAGCCCCTTTTCTGTGCTGGATGGTGAGGTTGTATTCCTGAACCAGGAGAGCCCTGCTCATCGACCACTGGTTGTGATTATACATCTACTGCAGGAACTCAAGAGGGTTATGATCTGTGTAAACCATGACAGGAGAAAAGCCAACATACACCTCAAAATGCTGGAGGGCTAACAACATACCCAGGGTCTCCTTTTTAATTTTAGAATAGTTCAACTGATGTTTCTTGAATTTCACAGCAAAGTAGCACACTAGGTGGCACACATCTCCTTCACCATCCTGCAGGAGCACAGCACCTGCTCCATTTGCCAACTTCTCAAGCTTGAAAGGCAATGAGAAGTTTGGGGCAGCCAGTAAAGGGGCACTACAGAGGAGAGACTTAGCAGCACTAAATGAATAGTCACATTCCTCCGTCCACACAGAAGGAACCACTGGACGACACAACCTAGTCAAGGGAGCAACCACCACAGAAAAGCTTTTACAGAAACACCGGCAATAGCCCACCATCCCCAGGAAACGGCAGAGCTCACGCCTTGTAGTGGGGATCGAAAAGGACAGCACAGCCTCCACCTTTGCATCTACTGGACGGACCTGCCAAAGCCCAACCTGCTTTCCCATGTAGATAACACTAGCCTTGCCAAACTTGCACTTTGCAGGGTTAAGCGTCAAGGATGCTTTTGCAAGTCGCTGGAAAACTGTATGTAGAGTAGCAATATGGCTCTCCCAACTACTCGCGTACACCACTACATCATCCAGATAAACATTGCAGTTTTGCACATACCCCAGCACCAGGTGCATAAGGCGCTGAAGAGTAGCAGGCGCACTTCTCATGCCGAAGGCCATAACTGTATAGTGCATGAAGTCATCAGAAGTAACAAATGCTGATATGCCAAATGCATGTGGAGTTAATGGAACCTGCCAGTAACACTTAAGTAAGTCCAACTTTGTGATGAATGTGGAGGGTCCAATGCTGTCAATACAGTCCTCCATATGAGGCAAGGGGAAGGAGTCTGGCACAGTAACTGCATTGACCTTCCTAAAGTCGGTGCAGAAACGAGGGGTTCCATCAGATTTTGGGGCAAGCAAACACGTAGAGCTCCAGGGACTCCTGCTTGGATTAGCTAGACCATTTTCTATCAGGTAGTTGACTTCTTTTTTCATGCTCTCTCTTTTCTCCATTGAACAATGATATGCATGCTGCTTAATGGGTTTCGCATTGCCAACATCAATGTCATGCTCCAACACTGTGGTGCATGACAGCACATCACCAAATAAGGTGGGGTAGGAGCAGACTAAATCAATTATGTCATGACACTGGGCTTCGGGGAGGTATGACAAGTGACTATCTATGCCAGACAACAGCTCAGAGTTTGATAGCCTATCACCATGGGTACCGTCAGCTGGACCCACCAACCCATCAGACTCAGCTGTGACACAGATCAATGAACGAGAGGCCACTACTGGAACAGCAGCTTTAGACTCCTCCGGACCAGCTGCCCTGGAATAGAAAGGTTTGAGCATGTTAATGTGGCACAAACAAGTTTTCCTCCTATGCTCAGGTGTGTGGATAACAAAGTTTGTATCTGGCACTCTACTTTCTGCCACATAGGGACCAGAGAAGCCAGAAGTGAGAGCAGAACCAGGTGAAGGTAACAGCACAAGAACCTTATCGCCAGGCTGAACTGCCACTCAACCACCTCTCCTACACACCTGCCTGAGAGGAAGAGAGCAAGGCAGCACGGTGCAGATGTTCTCTGCATTTGGAAACAAAATCAGACTCATTAAGTTGAGGAGATGTACTAGACCCAAATTTATCTTTCAACACTTTCAAGGGGCCAAGCAAATTGTGGCCATAGATCAAATCAAATCAAATTAAATTTTATTTATATAGCGCCAATTCACAACAGTTGTCATCTCAAGACGCTTTTCAAAGAACAAGAGCAGATCTAGATCACGCTCATCGTTTGATGATCAAGAACCAACCTAAGATGGGTTTTGGCCCATCTCATCTAACATAAGTAGCAGTGGCAAGAAAAAACTTCCTTTTAACAGGCAGAAACCTTGGGCAGGACCCGACTCATGCCAGACAGCCACCATGCTGCTGTTGGGTTGGGGAGGAATGTAGAGAGATTGAGGGAGTGAGGGAGAGAGGGAGAGAGAGAGAGAGAGAGAAGAGGGGAGGGGGCAGGGGGGAAGAGTGAGAGAACAAGGTAAGGGGAAGGAGCGAGAGAATGAGTAAGGAGAGGGAGGGGGAGGGAGAGAGAGTAGAGAATGAGGGTGAGAGAGAGACAGGGGACAGCAGAAACAACAGCAACAACAAGAACAGCTCATGTAATAGTGAAACAAAATAAATTCAGTTTACAGGACAATGTTAAATTAATTAAATGTGATAACAGTCAGCAGGCCTAATAGTAGTCAACTCTAGTTTTATGTTCTTAATGTCAGTGAGCCTGATGTTCATGTCTGCAGTAACAGTCCAGAGGAATCCAAGAGAAGAAGGAGCTCAGGGCCCGAGGCAGACAATCATAGACGATGCGGCTAAAGTCAGGCAGGTCTGCAGCAGCCATCAGTCCAGAGCAACCCAGGAGGCTGGGGCTCAGAGACATACAGAGAGATCTGGTTAGCAATTTGATGGGAGAAAATGACTTCAATGTACAGGATAATGAAGTAACTGATTATGGACTATGCTAAATTAATTTAAGGTAATTAAAGTTAAAACTCAATGGCAGTTTCCTCTAGTTTTATTTTATAGATGTCAATTAGGCCGACATACATGTCTGCAGCAACGGTCCAGAGGAGCCTAAGAGATGGAGGAGCTCAGGGCCTGAGGCGGACATTCAAGGACAATGCAGCTGGGGTCAGGCAGTTCCACAGCAGACCGTCTGCAGCATTAGTCCAGTGGAAGCTAAGAGACTCAGGGACACTCATATGGGACATAAAGATCTAAAGGAGAGATAGAGACAGACTCTAGCTCAGTGTGCCAGATAACCCTGGCAGTCTAAACCTATAGCAGCATAACTAAGAGCTGGTTCAAATCAGCCCCAACTATAAGCGTTATCAAAGAGGAACGTTTTAAGTCTACTCTTGAAAGTTGAGAGGGTGTCTGCCCCCCGAACCTCGAGCAGTAAATGATTCCAGAGGAGAGGTGCCTGGTAGCTGAAAGCACTTCCTCCAATACTACTTTTAGAGACATTTGGTACAACGAGCAGGCCTGCAGACTGTGAGCATAACGGTCTAGACGGAAAGTAAAGTATAACAAGTTCGTCGAGATATGATGGAGCCTGGCTGTTAAGCGCTTTATATGTCATAAGGAGGATTTTAAACTCAATTTTAGATTTAATAGGGAGCCAATGAAGAGAGGTTAAGACAGGAGAGATGTGCTCCCTTCTTCTGGTTCTAGTCAATACCTGAGCTGCTGCATTTTGGATCAGCTGAAGAGTCCTTAATGACTTACTGGAGCAGCCTGATAAGAGAGAATTACAGTAATCCAGCCTAGAGGTAACAAAGGCATGGACTAGTTTTTCTGCATCACTCTGAGACAAGATTGGTCTAATTTTTGAGATATTGTGCAGGTGGAAAGAAGCTATCCAAGAGATTTGTTGAATGTGGGAGCTAAGGGACAAATCCTGATCAAATAAAACTCCCAGATTTTGCACAGTGGGGCTGGATGCCAGACTGATGCCAACTAGCGTAGCTATATTTTTAGAGAATGCTTCTCTAAGGCGTTTAGGACCGAGACAAGAACTTCAGTTTTGTCTGAGTTGAGCATCAGAAAGTTATTGGTCATCCAGGATTTTATATCTTTGAGACAAGCTTCTAATTTGGTAACCTGGTTTGCTTCTTCTGGCTTCATGGATAAGTATGTCATCTGCATAACAGTGGAAATTAATCAAGTATTTCCTCATAATTTTACCCAGAGGAAGCATGTACAAGGTAAAGAGGATCGGTCCAAGCACTGACCCTTGTGGGACTCTGTAGCAGATCTTCGTGTGCACAGAGGATTCATTATTAATATGGACAAATTGGAATGGATCCGTTAGATAAGATTTAAACCAGGAAAGAGCGAATCCTGCTATGCCAATGGATTGTTTCAGTCTCTGAAGCAGGATGTGGTGGTTGATCGTGTCAAACGCAGCACTAAGATCCAACAGGACAAGAACAGAGAGAAGACCACTGTCTGAAGCCATGAGTAGGTCATTTGTCACCTTCGGCAGAGCAATCTCCGTGCTGTGATGGGTTCTAAATCCAGACTGGAAATCCTCCAATAAACCGTTGTTATGAAGAAAATCACAAAGTTGATTTGCAACAACTGTCTCTAGGACTTTAGAAATAAAAAGAAGGTTGGATATTGGTCTATAGTTAGCAAGGGTGCTTGAGTCAAGAGTAGGTTTTTAAGGAGAGGTTTAATCAGGGCAGTTTGAAAAGACTGGGGAATATATCCTGTTAATAAAGACGTATTGATCAAGCTAAGCAAGGACGTACTGATCAAAGGAAGAGTTTCCTTCAGCAATTTAGATGGAATTGGGTCTAAAAGACACGTAGATGGTTTGGCTGCCAACACCACTGAATTTAACTCAGGAAGGTCAATGGGTGCAAAGTTACTAAGGTGCACCAGAGGCCTTAGGGGCTCCTCAACAATTTCAGGGTTATCTAAGAGAGAGACACCTGTCGGAGGCAAGAGGTTACTAATTTTACCTTTTTTTTCATTGAAGAAGTTCAAGAAGTCGTTGCTGCTGAGGGTTAATGGGATACATGGTTCAGCTGTGCTCTGACAGTCCATCAGCCTGGCTACAGTGCTGAAGAGATATCTGGGGTTATTCTTATTTTCTCTAATAAGGGACGAGTAGTAAGTTGTCCGAGCACGTCGTAAGACTTTCTTATATTTATCAAGACATTCCTATCAGAGAAAATGAGCTTCAGCTGTTTTGGAAGAGTGCCAAATCCTTTCTCGTCTTCTTAATAACTGTTTCAGCTCACAGATTTTAGCACTATACCACAGAGCCAGCCTCTCGCGTGTAAGATTTTTCTGTCGAAGAGGAGCAACTGAGTCAAGAATTGATCTCAATGTGCCTGAGGTGATGAACTGATCAAGTTGCAAGGGACTGATGTTCAAGAATGACAAGGCTTCAGCTTCAAGGCCATAAGCCAGGACAAGATCGAGGGTGTGGTTAAAGCAGTGCGTAGGTCCATGTACAAACTGTGTAAACCAAATTGAGTCTAACAAGGACAAGAAAGAAATGCTTAGGCTATCATTTTCCATATCCCCATGAATATTAAAGTCACCAACAACAATGACTTTGTTTGCACTAAGGACTAGATCAGATAGAAACTCTGAGAATTCTGACAAAAACTCAGAGTATGGGCTGGGAGGGCGATAAACTATAGCAAATACCAGTGGTCTCATGGTCTTTGCGGCTGGATGCAGAAGACTGAGAACAAGACTTTCAAAAGAGTTATAATCCAGTTTTGGTCTTGGGTTAATTCTAAAGGGGTGTTCAGACCAAACGCGACCAGGTCGCGTCACGTTGGTCCTTCAGGTCGCGTCGCGTTGTGCCCTGGTGTGTTCACAGCAGGTCCAAAGCTGCAGTCGCAGGTCGTGGCTGGTCGCCGGTGACGTCATCCATGAGAATGTCACTAGCTCAGTTTCCAGTTCATCGTCCTCTGTGCTGCCGCACATCTGTACATCCGCAGTAGATGCCACCGGCGTTTATGGGTGCATGAAACCATCCGGAGGAGGACGGAGCTGGGTGAATTTCACCGCTTGCTCCAGGAACTCCGCCTGGACAACAGCCGCTTCCAGCGGTATTTCCGTGTGTCGACGGCGCAGTTCGAGGACCTCCTCACCCGGGTGGGAAGCAGCATCTCCCGCCAGGACACGAACTACAGGCGCTCCATCTCAGCTTCGGAGCGCCTGTCTATCTGTCTGTCCCTCATATAAACGTCCCTAAGCCCCTTCCACCGCTTGCGGCACACATCCACTGCAAAGACACACACACATACATTGAAACATGTAGCCTAGCAAGCAGGGGCAGTTAGCTATGTTTTCATAAAACAGTCCGCTCACTGAAACAAATACACAAACAAACTTACCAGAAAGCCCGACATCATGGGCCACCTTCGCCCATGCCTCCTCCTTGGAGGTGCGGTCCCGGTAAAACGCGCACCCCACGTCGTACAGGACCGGGTGATAATTCACAGCAGTGATAAACTGCTCCTCCATTGTGATTCTTCTTCTCCTCCTCCTTGCTTTGCCGGTTTGTTGACGTCAGCAGAGCCCTGATTGGCTGTCGTGGCACGGAGTCGCGGATAGTCGCTCCTAAAGTTCAAATATTTGAACTCTGGGAGCGACACGACTTGGCGTCCTGCGACCTCGGCGACGTGACCGCGGCGACGCGACCTCGGCGACGCAACTTGGCGACCATGCGCTACCTGGTCGCCAAGTCGTGTCTGGTCGCGTCGCAGGCAGCCAGCGGTCGCCAAGTCGCGTCAGGTTGCGGCTGTCCATAGACTTTGCATTGGGAGCCGTTGCTGACGTCGCTGAGGTCGCGTTTGGTCTGAACACCCCTTAAGACCACCTCGGCCAGAGTCCCGAGGAATGTGAAAGCTTAGGTGGCTAGGAGGAGTGGATTCATTTAAGCTGACATATTCATCCTGACGCAGCCAAGTTTCGGTTAGGGAGAGTAAATCAATGTGATGATCAGAGATTAGTTCATTTATTAACAAAGATTTGGAACTTAGAGACCTTATGTTCAGTAGACCACATTTTATCTTACTACTACTCGGTTTAGCTATGTTAGCAGTTTTTTTTCTAGTAAGGTTCTTGTTATTTACTCCTTTGTTAATCAATTGGTTAGAATTAAAGAGCTGAGGACGAGGGACAGACACAGTCTCTATATTTAAGTGACAGTACGGCTACACTTCTCATCAGTTGTCTGATCGGGCAGGGGACCAGAGAAAACTACGGAGTCCAACATAGTTTTGGCATATTCACACACCAATTCCACGTTAGTGACTTCCGACTGCCGGCGCTGGGAGTCATTAATGCCGACATGTATTACAATCTTACGGAATTTACGTTTAGCCTTTGCCAGCAGTTTTAAACTACCTTCGATGTCGCCCACTCTGGCCCCTGGAAGACACTGAATTATGGCCGCTGACTTCGCTAATTTCACATTTCCAACTACAGAGTCTCCAATCACAAGAGGGTCGGGCTCAGCAGGTGTGTTGCTGAGAGGGGCAAATTTGTTTGAAATGTGAATATGGTGGTCTAACGTGGGCTTCTTAGGCCTGCTGCTATGCTTCCCCTTCACAGTGACCCGCCTACTACTACATCCCGGCTGCTTGGGATCTGCCGGGGGGAAGCTAAGCTAGGCCGACCCGCACCGGCTACCGGGTCCTGGCTGGCTACTGCTACTCTAGCATCGGTGCGGAACCGCTTTTCCAACTCTGTAATCCTCACCTCCAGAGCTAAGAATAAACTACACTTAAAGCAGGTATCGTTATCGTCTAAGGAGGACGAGGAGTAACTAAACATCTGACACACTGAACAGAAGCGAGCAGGAGAAGCAGGAGACTGGGGGGAAGCCATCATTAGCAAGTGAAGCTAAGCTAAGAGAAGCTAAGAGCTAGTAAAGTAAACCACCAGAGAGATCATCCGGAATGGAGATAAAGATGGTGCTTGGTGAAAACTATCAGCTATACTTACAGACTTTTAAACAAACCGATGTATTAATAGATTAAAGAGAGAAAATAACCCAAACAGCAAGAACGCTATCAGGAGGAGCAAAACGCTACACACAGTTCAACAGCAAGGAAGGGAATGATGCAATGCGCACGCTCACTAGTCAGGAGGACTCAGGAGTCAGACAATCTCAGCTGGGCTGAACCCCAAAGACTCCTGCCTGGCATCCCGAATGGCAAACAATACAAAAGGCACACTATCATCCCAGTCCCTACCCGTCTCATGACATAACTTTCTTAGCATGGACTTAAGTATTTGATGCCAGCGCTCAAGCCCACCTTGCAATTGTGGGTGATATATACTGGACACAGCATGAGCGATACCTAGAGACTGCAATGTCCACTTAAAGGTTTTGGACAAGAAGTTGGTACCTTGATCCATTTGAACCACTTTGGGGAGACCAAATGTGGTGAAAAACTTTAGCAATGCCTTGCTAACTGCTGGTGCAGTTATCTTGCGCAAAGGAATAGCTTCTGGGAAACGAGTAGCAACACACATTACTGTGAGTAAAATTTGGTTACCAGATTTTGTTTTGGGCAAAGGACCAACACAATCAACAGTAACATGCACAAAGGGACCGGGGACTGGTTGCAGCGGAGCTGGAGGCACCACCTGATTAGGTTTCCCCACAATAACTATTACAGAACTCACCTTTCAGTCCTGGCGAAAAGAAATGTTTTAGAACACAGTCATAAGTCTTTGTTATTCCCAAATGACCAGACCAAAGGTGCTCATGTGCTAATTCAAGCACATGATGTCAACAAATAACTGGCACAACTATCTGGTTTGCTGTTGGCGAAACACCGTACTTTCCTGGTGGGTACAGTGTTCTCAACACAGAAGTTTATATAGTCCATGATGCAATCTGTTATGGTGTCGATGTCTTCACCATGTGGGCCCCACAGTACATCCCAGTCTGTGGTCTCAAAACAGTCCTGCAGTGCCTCAGTGGCCTCCTCGGACCTCCTCTTAACATACCTGATGGTGGTATGTAAATGGGCTGCAGTCTCACCAGGTTGTGCTCTGAGCAGCCCAGCGAGGGGAGGGGGGAGGAGGTGTATGCATCCTTGGTGTTTGCATACAGTAAGTCCAAAGTTTTATTGTCTCTTGTTGGGCATTCCACATACTGGCTGAAGGTAGGGAGAGTGGAGGAGAGCGATGCATGATTAAAGTCCCCAGAGATGATGATCAGAGACTGAGGGTGTGATGTTTGTAGCTTGGACACTTCACTATGGAGGAGTTCACAGGCTGCAGATACGATGATGTTCGAAAACTCCCGCGGCAGGTAATATGGCCGCAAACTCACAGCCAGCAGCTCAATGTTCTTAGAGCAGCGCTGCTCTTTAACACTGACGTGCCCAGCATTACACCATCTCTTGTTCACATACACTGCTATCCCACCTCCTTTCTTCTTACCACTCTCCCTCACACTCCGGTCCGCTCTGACGAGATGAAATCCGTCCAAAGTTACGAGTGGGTCTGGAGTGAATTCCTTCAGCCATGACTCCATGAACATCATGAGGCTCCACTCCTGGTACTCCCACTGCAGCCTAGTCAGCGCTGTGAGCTCTTCCATTTGTTGGGGAGAGACCTCACATTTCCCATAATGATGGATGGGACAGTTAGATTAAAACATCTCCGCTTTGCCCGATGCTGAACTCCGGCTCTGCATCCTCTCCTTCTCCTGCGGAGCTTGTCCGGTCTTTCTCATGAAGGCTTGGTACAGCGCCAACAGCTGTTAACGGCTGTAAACATTGGAGCCGCTGAACGGGTCACCAGATGCGGACTTAAAAACTCCAAAAAGTAGCAGAAAACAAAGTGCCACAGTCAAGAAATGCACATCCATGGTTAGAATATGCAAAACACAACACTACCTAATAAAAAGAAAGACAAGTGCAAAAAACAACAATAAAAAGGCAAAAACATAAACTCTGTGAAGAGCTGCTGTGACTTGCTGCCACTCTCAGGGCGCTTAATGTATTAACTAAGGTTCAGGAGCAGGAACACGCCTCACCACACCTTCAATCACCTGACTAGCATATTTATACACAGCCCGCCCACTACACTCTGTTTGTCTGCAAATTTCTGAGGAACACAGACAGACCGTGCACGAGCCCTGTCGCTCACTCGCCTTATAGAAACAAGTCAGCCACTCACCATGGAACTCCAGCTGCATGACTCAGATGAGGATCTGTACGAAGACCAATCCAAGCCAGTTATCCTTCACCAGAGAGCAGCAATCAAACCATAGCTACGCGTCACAGCAGAGCCGCTCGCACTCCGTGCTCCCCGAAACATCATCCTGACGGTTCCCATCAGATCCCCAGCCTCATCCCCACCAAGTAGGTCTGTAAACCAAAGGAGCTACAATCTCAACAACCAAATCTGCTCTCCACCACGGTGCTCTCATCGATCAGCCACCGGCAATCTAACACCACGGCGTAGCCTCGCCAAGACGGCCGTCTCCGCACTCACGACCTGAGGATGACATCAGCAACGAACCGTCACCCGCCTCCGTCGATCCCTGAAGACAAGAGGCATCCCATCTCACCGCAGCGACAGCAAAGCAAGGCTATTCCCACACTACAATTCCTCCACAACACCTCAGCAACAGCGGCCGAAAATTCCACGCTTCCCGCTTCCCCGCCAGAGCCAATCAACGCCTGAAACGTCATGCATGATGTCACTGAGCAGCTCCCTCAACTGCCACCTGCCTTATCAGCTCCCCCTGTCGGGGATCAGGTCGTATCACCCCCTGTGCCAGCTCCCTCTGTGTCTGACTTCTCAAGCTATCACAGCTTTCTTCACTTCCCTGTGTTTGCAGGCTGCACAAAATTCCCTTGCACATACAACCTTTCACCCCAACATCCCTTTCTCCTCTCTTCCTTCAGCCTCAAACAGTAATACGGCTTCTGTTCCCACTCTTCCCATCATAGCCAGTTCCTCGGCTCTTCAAAGAGCCCCTCCACCAATTCATAACCATAGACCATATACAGAATGGACACCGTCTGCCTCCTTACTGTTATACTCTGGTGACAGGCTGCAGTATAGGTCATAAATCCCGCCTCCTCCAGCAAAGCTTATGGAGCCGTGGACGACTTTAGAAATTTATTACACAGAATATAAATGTTTCTCCCCCCTGGTCGTGATGTTGACATGTAGTTACTGTCAGACTGGTTTGCACTCAAGTCCTCTTTTTCCTGTACAGCTTCATTTTTAAAAGTTATTAGAGGGTTCGCGTTTTCTATGATTGATACTTGACACAGCCCATGGGCGTACGAAGATCGCGTAGCTCACCCGGGGGATACGCCGTTTGAGCCGAGGGTCATCACAGTGACTCTTGGCGACTCTCCCGCCGAATGCGTACAACGCTACTGCGCAATGTTGGTTTCAGGACATGGAGAAAAACTACGGCAATACAGAGAGCAATTCCAACTCCTACACTGGCTATCCTCAACCTCCCCCATTCCCTGCTTTACTATTCTGTCAACTCTCCGTCCCCTTTCCCACCCCCTCCCTTACCCAACACCCAAATGTATTTCCGCATCCTGTACACAATTACACATTAACTACAGTTGCTTGCTCCACCTATCCAACCAGCCTCATCCATTAACCATCCTTTTTACATCTCACTAGCACTTTGCCAACAAATTCTCACTGGTAATTACGTAGAACTAGCGCAGCTACTCCATCATCCACAACCGACCCAAGATAACTTAAGGAATTGCAAAACAATTTTGGTCCAGTTCAACTCCGTGACCTACTTCCATCCAGGTCCAAAGACCTAACACCAGTAGAATTCACTTTAACATTTTCACCCTTCCACAACCCAGTCCGTTTAGTTTTTCCATCTTGCAGGTACTATCCCCATTACGCGCCTACCACTCACCTCCGACTTACTCAGCCTCTGCATTTGTACCCTACATTCAGGCTACTCATCTCCAACGGTTGATTCTACACTAGAATCAATGTTCCTGCTTGCCTTCTTCAGTTTCCTCAGATACTCCAAATTCGCTCCAACCTCTTCCGTCTTCAATCCAACCTATCATCCCAGACTATCAGACATCGCAGTTCACACTTCAGATTCTCTCATATTCACGCTCCGACTTAGCAAAACAGATCAGCTCTGGATCTCTTTTCCAGTTACCTCTTCCGCTTAAATTCCTACCTCAGTCCATTCGAATCACTCAGCAAATACATCAGCTCCAGGTATGCAGCTCAAGCATCACCTCACGACCCTCTTTTCCTTACTAAAAAAGAAAAAATTGCTACACGATTCCAGTTCCATAAACACCTGCATCAAGTCCTCCTCATGTCAGGCATAGCATCAGAGCACTACTCAGCCCATTCAAACAAGAGACTGAAGAAATCCCATCTCAATCTTATTTGTTGGATGACTGTTCCACAGCTGCAGATCCACCTGCCAAACAACTGTTTGGGTTTTATGTTTTAATATAAAATAGACTAATAAATACACTCCTGAATTTGTATTAAATATTCAAACTTATATCGTTGTGGCGTTGTCATTGCTAGTGAAATGAAGTAAATGTATTAACTAAGGTACGGGAGCAGAACCACGCCTCACCACACCTTCAATTACCTGACTAGCATATTTATACACAGCCAGCCCAATACACTCCGTTTGTCTGCAATTCTCTGACCCACCCTCCCTCCCTCTCCCTTTAACATTAACGCTTCTACTACCTCTCTACCTCCGCCTAAATTTGAATACACACTCCTGAATTTGTATTAAATATTCAAACTTATATCATTGTCCTTCACCCTGGCCATGGAGGTCATCATCCGGGCCTCTTGTTGGGTGGTTGGCAGACAGAAAATAAAACCTGGGCTGAGGCTGCCACCAGCCAGAGCTTACATGGATGACCTCACAACACTCACTGTGACCAAGGTTTGCACTGTACGGCTACTAAGAAAACGCCAGGAAAACATCTAGCTGGCTCGCATGAAGATCAAGTTGAGCAAGTCCAGAAGTATCTCCATTGTCAAGGGGAAGCTGCCACACCAGTGCTTCCATATTGGCGAGGAACCCATCCCAATGGTCTCCGAGAAGCCGGTAAAAAGCCTAGGATGCTGGTATGATGCCTCCCTAAAAGGAAAAGAGCAATTAGGGCAGCTCAGGAAGAAGGTAGCCAGCGGCCTGGAAAACATCGACAGAACCCTGCTTCCTGGCAAGCTAAAGCTCTGGAGCATGCAGTATGGACTACTTCCATGTCTCCTGTGGCCACTAACTCTCTATGAAGTTCCGCTCTCAAAGGTGGAAAAGCTTGAGAGGCTGGTCAACGCATACGTAAGGAAGTGGCTTGGCCTTCCCAGATGCCTCAGCAGCATTGCGCTCTATGGAAAAGGTAAGTTACACTTGCCCATTTCCAGTCTGACAGAGGAGTACAAGTGCACCAAAGTGAGATTGGAGATGATGCGTCTGGATTCAGGCGATCAGTTTGTAGCCCAAACTGCCCCCATCCTGGCCACTGGGAGGAAGTGGACCCCATTGGCTGCAACTGAACAGGCAAAGGCAGTACTCAGACACAGGGACATTGTGGGCCGAGTGCAGGAGGGGAGGAGTGGTCTGGGCCAGTACACCGCCCTTGAGCAAGGCCAATCCATCTGAAAAACGCAAGCTGGTGGTAGAGGAGGTATGTCGGGAAGAGGAAGCAGGAAGGCGTGCAAAAGTGGTGGCGCAGGCAAAGCAAGGGCAGTGGATGGCATGGGAAGGAGTGGAGAAGAGAAAGATCTCCTGGAAAGATTTGTGGGAGATGGAGGCATTCAGAGCGAGCTTTACTATCAGGGCTGCCTACGATGTCCTACCTTCTCCTGCAAACCTAAGCCAGTGGTATGGCGAAGACCCCACATGCCCTCTATGTCCAAGTCCAGCAACACTGAAGCACATCTTAGTGGGGTGCAAGACCAGCCTTACCCAAGGCCGCTACACCTGGCAGCACAACCAGGTGTTAGGTGTCTTGCAGCAGTGCTGGAAAGTCGCCAAACAAGCGTGAACTACCTTCCTCCCCCATCATCCGGTTGGAAGCCACCATCATTTGTTCGGGAGGGCAAGGGTCAAGCTAGCCTCACCACCGCAAGACCAGACAATGGGCAGCTGGGCGAAGCACAGGACTGGAAGATGCTGGTAGACCTGGACATGAAACTCTGCTTCCCAGCTGAGATTGCATCCACGAACCTGCGACCAGACCTTCTTCTGTGGTCAGTCTCACTCAAACTTGTCTACATCATTGAGCTCACTATACCCTGTGAGGGTGCAGTGGAGGAGGCCTACGAGCAGAAGAAGCTGAGGTACGCCAAACTTGCAGCAGATGCTCAACAACAAGGCTGGAAAGGTAAGATCTGCCCAGTGGAAGTAGGCGGCAGAGGGTTTGTAGCCACCTCAACAACTAGGCTACTCAGAGAGATGGGAGTGCGAGAGAAGGCACACCGGCAGGCAGTCATGGATCTCTCCAGGGCCACTGAAAAGGGGAGCCAGTGGGTGTAGATGAAAAGAAAGGACTCCACGTGGGCCTGCAGGTGAGTTGATGGCATCTAGGAAGTGAGCCTGGGATACTGGGTTTCGCTGTTGAACCCTGGAGGTGTCGTGGGCCTATCAACGAAACACTGAAGAAGGAGGGCACCCACCTGATGATCTGAAGGATGCCATCAATCATCTGAACACCCTACAGTGGTGCTTCAAGTATCATTATCAATCCCACTCAAAGGTATTCGGTCAGGTGTAAGCGTGGCTAAGGGAGAAGGACGTCCCTGCAAAGCAGAGTCCACGGCACTTTGGATAACAACATCACATTGTGTGTTTTTAGGAATCTACCAGGAAAACAGGTGATTTAAGTTTACCTTGCATTTAATTTTATGGTTTGATGCATCTGCTCATAAGAAACGATAAAGTGAAACTATATCATATGTGATTTGATAAACAGCATTAATCATAGTTAGTGAGGAAATTAGATCTAACTCGCTTATTAATCCCGCAAGTTAAATTAATTTGCTTGCCAGCCTGATCAGCCCCGCTTTGAAGAATGGATGCACGTGCTCAGGCCCTCCTCCTTTGGTTCACGCCCCACACGAATGGGTTAAAAGCGTTGAGCTGATGCTACTCACTCTCTTATCATCTTTTCTCTTATTGTCTTCTATCTAGGGCTCTATTTTCCTGCGCGCCAGCAACACGGTGGACGGTGGCAGACCCCGCATAGTGGTATTTTCGTCTGGCAAAACCCGGCGCACAGCCAGTTTTCGTGCTCGCCGGTGGCGTGTAAAGTGTGCTGAAAGCTTGCCGATTCGAACCTGGTCAGCTTTCAGCGCAGGCAGAGCGCAGCTGGTCTACTGGTATTTTGGTAGACCAGCGGTGTATCAGCATACATCACAGATGCCTCACCGGCAGGTTTCCACAGTGTAAGGCACATTTTAGTGCAATAAATAATCATCAACAACCACTATTCAGTGCAACTATCTGAATCAGCACATACTGATTCTGATCTGATGAATGCGTTTGGTATGCGTTTGGACACACCACCTGACCGAATGAACACAGCTGAAACTGCATTAAATTAAATATCCAGTAAACAGTCACACATGATGAAGTTAACAAGATATTTAATTTGTCTCCCCACTTATCCTTCTTCTTCCTTGTGCAGCTCGATAGGTGTTGTGCCGTAGAATGCACCCTCGCCATAGAATTCATCCCCTGCATCCCATCCATAGAAGTGGAAGAAAATAATCTCATATTAAAAAAAAAAAAAAACATGAGTATTGGATCATGACAACATGTCAAATGGAGCTGCAAACTTTTGTTCTGTTTTTAGGTATTTAAAAAATGCACATCCAGAGTTGTACTTGGGTACATAAACTGTACAGTAAGCAGTTAAGGTAGAGAACATTATATTTTTGGGGCAGCAAATATTCCAAATCAGAGGGCTATTGTTTTCAGCTTATCTGAATAGCCTGAATTAAATCATTAAAGGCACATGCTTTTGAATCCATCCAATGGTAAGGAAAAACTTGGATTATTTCGCCTTGTTGTGTACTTTCAACTGCGCTCCCGTCAGGGGGTGCATTCTACGGCAGGGGTGCATTCTATGGCACAACACCTGACGTGTCTCCGTATCCTCTCTCTGTCCTGCTGCTGCTGAGGTGGCTGACGGCTGACCAGGGGCCTTATGTATCAACGCTTGCGGCGCAAGAAAACCTTGCGTACGCCAAAATCGGCGCACACGTCCAGATTTATCATCGCGAAACGAGCGTCGGTTCCAGCGCTAATCAACGCAAAGTCAGGAGGTGGTGTAGAAATTGGCGTTGAGCCGATACTTGCGTTGACTGTGATTCGCACTTTGGCGACGCTGTGTGGCCGTGTTTGGTGACTCACTATGTGACAAGCGTGCACCACATCCCCGTGGCCGAGCAGCACGTCGCCCCACATGACGAACCAGCAGCAGACGGAGGGATGTGAGCTGATCCCTGCCGGGCCGCCGTCCTCGCGCGGGAGAATCTCATCGCCACAGTGTGAATGGGTAAGAAGTGAATACACAGTTCAATGAGCCAAATTAATTTATTTTCTCCACCAGACGCTCGAGGACATTTACGAGCCGGTCCAGCCGCTCGTTGATCCCCGCGATCCCCCTGATGATTTCTTCCTGCGATTGCAGGACCCCCTCCGCGAGGACCCTTCCACTGCGTCCGGGTGGTCCAGCGGAAGCGCCGCGGCTGGTGGACGCTCCACCGCTTGTCGGCACGCTGGTGCTGATGCTGGTGCTGGTGCTGGTGCTGGGGCCGGGGGCCGGGGGCCGGGGGCCGGGGTGGCCCGAATGCCGCTGGTCCTGGCCGACAACTCCGAGCCGGCGGACGGGCTGCCACGGGCCGGGGTTCCGCAAGCCGGCGACACGGCCGACACATTGATTTCTGTGACACAATAAAAATATTTGTTCATTTCAATTCCTGCTTCTGTGTATCTGTTGCGTTTACCTCTCTCTGCACGGTATCATAGGTAATGTAATCCAGTATTTCGAGGTCAGTTATGCACATTACAGTTGTTTACTGCATAAAAAGTTATCGAAAAATGAAGCTGAGGGCGAAGTATAAATCACGTCTAAAAATAGACTGAATCCCGACGTTGAAATGAAGTATAAACTTAGACTAGACGTCTAATATACGTCTTTTGCTCAGTGGGATGACAAAGCATGTGGACATTTGTGTGACACGCCACTTACCCTATAATAATAATCGCCACCACCCGCTGCTCAAATGGTGTGAGGGTCTCCTCCCCCGGAGCCCCACCTGTCTGGCCAGTACTCCTCCGGAGGGCAGCTGTACGCCGCTTGACCTCTACCTTGAGGTCCGACCACTTTTTTTTAATCTCCGTGGGGGTGCGTGTCTCGGAACACACCACGTTCACCCTCTCGCAAACTTTCTCCCACTCCAAGCGTTTTCGTTTTGCACTGACGCCACTGGACAGGCTGCCAAACAAAACACGCTGTCGCTCCTCCACCTCCGCCATCAGCACCTCCACCTCGCACGCCGCAAATTTAGTTTTTCTTGTCATTTTGTCTGCGTGCGAGGACAGGGAGACCCTATTTAAATAAATCTGCATATTTATAGGAGGGCGTAACGGGGACGGGCCCAGTCACTCCGATATCTGCGCTCAATTCCACACTGATTGGGATTTATCAAGGAAACACACGTGGATTTCGGCGCCCGCACACATTGATACATACGGATTTTTTTCAGCGTGACGGACCTTGTGTGCGCTCGTTTCTGGTATGAGTTCCACGCAAGTATTGATACATAAGGCCCCAGATGATTTATTTTAGTTATCAGATGAGTTATTTACTTCGAAAATTTGAACAAATAATAATAATAATAATAAATAAATAAATAAAACCAAAGAAACTTTCACTCAAAATTACCTGTTTATCTGATTTTCTCACATCATTAGGATTCTGGTAAATATTCAATCCAAAGTTAGGCCCACATATGAATATTGTAATATTCAGTTTTGTGAGCCAAATTTATTTCATATGGCAACATCTATGAAAGAAAAAGCCAGGCCACGGAGCGTGATGCGTCCTTTACGCACAGGTGGTTCAGATTTTAATGCCATTATTGGAATTTATGTTGTGATCTGTGCGCACAACCCACCTTTGTGATGTGGGGTTTAAATAAATGCAACTTTATGTGAATGTCTGTGGAAAAGGGTGTTTGCCTTACCAGTGGGTCCAACCTTACACATACCAAATCCATCTGTGAGATGGTCTTATATGAGAGAGTGTGGAGCACGCCCTCAGCAGCGTTTACAGTGACACTTGTTGAGGGGCTGCCTTCTGTCGCCATTGTGTGGCATTGCTGTCTCCAGCCATCTCTTGATCTCTTTGACTACTGCACGAAAATTGTAATACGCCTTGCCGGTGGCGGATTTAAAGGCGAGGAAAGGAGCTCATGTTATAGGTCAATACAGGTCTCTGCTTTGTTAAACCCATTCCATGCCTTCTCTCCTCCGAAAATAGAGCCCTCAGTCAATTATTTTGTTTAGTTTGCTAAAGTGACTCCTGAAGATAATATCTGGCCAGCGAAATTATTTTCTTAAGTT